GAAAAATAATACAGAATATTAAAGGATTTAAACTTTATAAATTTTTCTAATTAAAATTGTAAAAAAAAAGAAAAGAAAAAAAGAAAATAATTCTTGTAAAAATTCAATATTCATCTAAAAAGATGTTTTTCTTAAGACAATAGTGTCCTTAATATATCTTATTGATAAAAGCAATTAAAAAAAAATTCAAATCAAATAATGTCCTAGTTTTATTGAACTTTTTATTTTACAGTTCAGAATAGATTTTTTGTAAATAGTATTTCTGTTTGACAAAAAAAAATTGATGATTTAAATTCTTCAAGGAGTCCTTCTTTTAACTAATATAAATATGGAGAGGCTGGAATTTTAATTTCTCAAAATTTCATAAAATTAAATTGGGTAACAGATGTAGAAAAAAAACTTTTTTTTAAATTAAAATTAAAAAATTAATTTAATTCATTTTTGAATAAGTTCTGAAAATTTAATTAAAATCTGACAATTATTTGATTTTTACAAGAATTTCCAAATTGATTTTACCCCCAAATAAAATTGAACAGTTAAACAAAGTGCTCAATCTATTTCATTCTGTAATAGTGATTTGAACAATTTTGAAGCTGATTTATAAAATAGAAACTTAAAACAAAAATCTTTTTTCCCCCTGAAGATAAAAAATCTATGACATACATGACCAAAAACTAACTTAATTTGCAATTTTATTTGTGCTCCCTAAACATAAAATCACCAAGATTTATTAATTAGCAACTGGAATTATTAAACTGATGACATGCAAACTACAACTAAACCCTCATGCTAAAACATTTATTCACTGTTTGAATGCAAATAAGAAAATTAAAAATTTATTTGGAATAGCATGATTTATAACATTTGAACAAAATGTACCAAAAGTATTGTCTCATTACACTGACAGTTTACTTCTGAAAAAAATGGCAAAAAGAACATCTAGTTTTAATATTAATTAAATTTGTTTTGCTTACCTTTAAATATTGTCCAGGTTATTGATTTGCAAAACTAACATTTTACATTATTAAGATGTGAAACAAAGCTTGCAGCTTAGAAACCCTCAAATTGATTTAGCATATCAGTTGAATTAAAAAATAACCTTCTCTAAATATTGTGAATTCAAATACAAAAGAGAAAGAGTTGGATTCAAATATATTAACTCACAACAAAGATTAAAAACTCATGCCCTAAAGTAATGTAAAAAAAAAAAAAAAAAAAAAAAAAATTAAATAAATATTTTAATCAAGAGGTATATTATTCAAATGTGTATAGGATGTAAAAGTGTATGACTTACAGATTTGGGGATTTAAAAAGTTGAAGCATGTAACAAAGGTAATTTTGATTTTTTTGTCACACACCTAATTTTGCATCTATTATTGGGAGGCAACATGTGTATAATTAAATGAATAAATGTAGATAGAGAATAGAGAAAAACAAGTGAAACCAACAGCATCTCTTACAGATGCACAAAAATAGCTACAATCAGGCTAAAATAAATGTTATTATAGATTAATGTTGAAAAGAACAGGAAAGAATTACTAAGAGCTATCAGAAATATATAATATTAGTGTTTAAGCCTTTTATCCTTACTCTGTCCTGGATTCTATCCTCTTGAAATTTTTATTCAAAAAATATACATGTATGTGTATGCACCTATGTATATATATTTATATATTTTGCATATGTATGTGTATATTTACCACTAATATTATCTATATATATATATATATATATATATATAATGCATTAATATTATCCTGAAAATAGTGAAAATTTATGTTTTAGAAATTAGAAAGAAGAATTGTAGTTATTGGATATGCATCAGTGTGAGAGCATTTTTGTATCAAATCCAGTGAGGCAAACAGTTTAGACATCAATTGAACAAAATGAAAGAAAAATAACTAAATATAATTTTTTCTCTTTTATAACTTTTGTTTCAATTATTTGTAGAATTGTTTGACTCCAAATCCCATTATACCTTTTCTAGTAACATTTTAAAAGCTAAATAATAAATGATAAATAGTTATTCATTCATGTTATAATCTTGATAATTTTTGGAATGATCAAGTATTATAGTTTCATTTTATTCTGTCTTAAATCATTTGGCAGTTCTCTTGTTGATATAAGTTTTTAACTCTTCAAGCCCTGTGCACCACTTTATTGGTGGCAGAGAAAAATGACATAATGCCCAGTCACCGGTTGATCAGTGGATAAACACATGTAACTATATAACAGTAGATATTACTGTGAAACATCACATACCAATTATTTGTGAATTTTGACTCAGGATCTCAGGCAGGAGGGTTAAAATTGTTCAGAAACACAGGGCTCCACGAGTTAAATATTTTTCATTTTAAAATTTCAATTAGTAGGAAAAAAAAAATGATTATTTCCATAAAAAAGTTTCTGTGAAATAGATAACAACTCATCACGGTGCAAAATGCAAGAAATACAATTACAATATAATGATAATATATACTATTAACACTGAATACACCCAAGAAAAACTATGGACATCAAATAAACTGCCAAAGTGAAAGAAAATTAAAATCTATAACAATCATTACAGTCCAGAATAAAGCCAGAGATGTAGTCATCTAAAAGACTGAAATATCAACAATCACAAAAAAGTATTGATATGGATGGTTTATAAAAAAGAAGTTTATTTTAAATATTCAAATATACAATTAATACCTCAGTAAAATATCACATATGTACATCAAGTGTATTGCTATTCTTCACATTTTTGTACATATTTTAGTGTGGAGCATGTTTTCAAGATCTAGAAAATCAATTTTAGTTTCATCAAAAAAAAATATACTGTCTGGTAAGTGAACAAAAACATTTTCTTACATTTTTAAATTCAATGAATCTTTTCAAAATTACAACAAATGACAGCCAGATAAATAGAAAGGCAGAGGAATAATATTAGGCAAGTGGTAAAATTCAGTGTTAATATTTATAACACATGTGCATTGCAAATTTATATCCACATAATGTTACTGTAATGGCATAGGGCATAACACATGCCTACATGTCTGGATAGCTGCTCCATGACTAATTCAAGCCAACCAACTTGATGCAGCATGGCACTTTCAAAGTGAAGTTATAACAATAAGCCAAGGTGGATAAGAGTTCAGTGACCAAAGAAGAGGAAGAAGAAGAAAAAAGGGGAGGGGGGCATTTTAGCATTTTGTGGGTGCAATAATCATACAGATATAATTTTCACTAGGGACAAGTGAAACAATTAGAGACAGGTAAGTGCAAAAAATGTCAATGTAAGCAGACTCATCAAATTCATATTTTTGTGGCATTTTTCATAGGAGATAAACCAGACTGTATTATTCTACAATTTAGATTTTCTAAAAATTGCTCTTTTAACAGAATAAAAACATGCAGTGTATATCGAACGTAAAATGATTTAACATGGAATGTGATACACTGTCTAAAAATCCTGTTTTCATAGTAAAAACACAAGGGAAAAAAAGCCAGTAAAAGTAATTGTGAAATCTTATGAACATTAATTATTAGGATGATAATGGTCATAAAAAAAATATACAAGCAACTTTACCATTTCAAAGACAATGTAAGAATGATATCTGTATCATTTGCAATATATAGTTTAAAGAATATGACAAATGGTAAACTGTTTCATTGAAACTAGATTACGCATTTCATTTTTACTAAACTTGATCAGATCAAAAGTGAAAGAAACAGACTTAAAAGTATATAAATCTTACTTTCAAGCCATTCTGAAAAATTGGATGAGGATTTACCTGAAATTTATTTTAGAAAAGTCTATATGAATCTTTTGCTTTCAAGCCATTCTGAAAATAGGAAGAGGATTCACCATAAATTCAATGCAACAAATCTGGAAGAATGTATAAATAAGTTTCAACAAGAACAACAAATTGTAAAGAAAAGATACAGAATAAATATTTTTTTATACAAAAGTTGCACAATTTCATTCTTTTCTTTCATCATGAGAAATTTCAGTTTTTATTTCATCATGAGAAATTTCAGTTTAGTGGAAAAAGTGCCAACAATTTATTATTTAAGCATACACCCAAATACACACACACAGATTTCTTTTTTTCATGTTTTGATCTGATGAAGCCTAGTAAGGGCAAAACACATAATCTAGTTTCAATGAAACGGTTTTCCATTTGTCATATTCTTCAAACTTTGTCTGGATTCTGTATCCTATTTTATACACAATATATAGTTACTTTTCCCAATCAAAAAAAAAAAAAAGCTGGTAAATTTGTTTGCTTTTAAAATAAGATTTTATCAGTTTTCATCAAAAAAGGATCAAGTGAAAATTGCAACAAAATATAAGTTGGACGTGTGAATTCATTGAAGTTTGGTAAGCCCCAAAATTGGCTTCACTGCAACTGAAGAAAAAGAGATTGCTAATTGAATTTTAAAAAAATTTAAAAATATGGCATGACTGTAAGTTTGGAGGGTCTTAGGAGGGAAAAAATTTAGTGAATTATCAAAAAACAAATTTCTTGTAAAATTAGCCATGACATCTTGGTTTGTGAAAAGGAAGTTAAGGATGATTAATTTTTCTGGCTAAATTTCAACTCAATGGGATCTCAGAAAAAGTGTTCATCCTTTTGGAATTTTTAGAGTTATTTTTACATGAAAAATAAACTTTATTTTGATGATTGGATTTTTTTCCCCCACAAACTGGAAACATTAAGAGAAATTCATTTGAAAGTAACTGTAAATTCCATGTAACAATTAGATGGTAATGAAATAACTTAAGATCCTTAATTCCAACAACACAAAGTTTTTGTTTTTATATATATATATATATATATATATATATATATATATACACACACACACACTTATGCCATCTGTGCTCATATGGCTTTTACAAGAGCATAAGTATATATTTGTGTTGATTTATATAAACATTTTGCCATAAGTATGAATGATACATTTCCTTTCTACTTCATTTCTTCAATTCTAAATCATTCTTTTAACTGTATTCAAGCTTCATTGTCTTGAGGTGTATTATTGGTTGTTGACTGCTTGGGTTTCATCATTAATGATTGAAACTCATTGCATTCAGAGTCACTTGAGTGTACACTCTCAAAGCTGCTGGCAGGAACCATAGAAGATAAGGAGGGTTTTATAAGACATTCACTTGCTTCAACATTGCATTCGCTCTCAACTTCAATGGGTAAAGTATGAAAATGGACTGAATTAGACTGCAAACAAACAACATTCCCATCTAGGGTTTCTTCAGCGACCCTGGGATCTGCATCATCCATGAGGCCTCCGGATGTTGTCATACTCTCCACATCTACAGCTTGGTTCACACTCTCTTGGCTGCCATTTACCTGTAGATCACAAGTAAGAAACCAAAACAAAATAAAACAAACATTTAAGAGAAAAATCATAAAATAAATTCATTTCACTCCTGTTATCACAAACAACCAGCTTGGAAGCATTCAAAACTAAAAAAAAAAGTTATTTTTGTGGTGTACCTTAAAGACAGGAAAATTCACTCACTGAAAAATAATATTTTTATTTTTAGTTAGAGATAATATTAAAATTAAAGTATATTTTTGGTTTCTAGCAAAAAATATATTCATATTGTTCAGTAAAACTTAAATATTCAGTTTTTCTAAAGTAGATATTGACTGAGCTAGACTATCTGTCTCAAGAGCACCTAGAAACAAGTGGATTCAGCAATGCTGTGTTACTTGTTAATCACTGCTCTGTGATATATGTATATACAGAAAAGATTTGGTTAAAGCCAACCTAGAAATGTTAGATTTAAGCTCTATATTAAATATTAAATTTTTTAGTGAAGCTAAGCTTAAAATTTAAAAAAAACAAAAAAAAAAAACTGTAAGGATCTCAATATGAATTTAATTCCTGGAGGAATTTTAAGAGAACTTCAGTTATTATAAGAGTCAATCTGAACAAAACTACATTAACACATGCTTTTTGATTGATTTAGAAAGTATATGTTTTTATTAACTATGCAACTTAAGAAAAATAGGAATTGTCTATAATTTTAGAAAGAGTCACTATCATTCCAAAAGTTGTTTGGAGAGTCAAACTTATTCTTTATATTGCCATTGCAATGTTTGCACTGATCCATTCTGTGGCTTTTTGGGATGTACACTTCATCATATAAGAGAAAAGTGATTCTCATTTATATGTAGGAGTGCTCTTCAATTTCTTCCCAACTAAGCAAAGAAAATCATATCATACTGAAATCTACACTAAGCTAACATGCATCTAGCTAACAAGTCAATATATGCCATCTCTTCTAATTTTCTCACTCTCCAATAGTGTTAATGTTTTATGTACAATTTATGCTTCACATATATTGGCAGGAAGGTCTAGTTACAGGCCTCCAATTTCCACTTTTGATTTCAAATTTCTATATGGATTTTTTTTTTAAAATAAAAGTTTTGCCTTATGTTCCATTTCATTGAAGCATTTGGTGGGAAGCCACAATAATGCTATAGCTAGATATATTGTTGACTCTTGTTAACTAAATTAGACCATATATATAAATGGTAGGAAAATATGACAACAGCAAACACTTAAGTGTCCTAATAATCTGTACAGAGGAAAGATATAACACTGGTGTACCCCCAAAGACAACACAAAGTTGTTAGAATTTTAATTTAAACCATTTCTTCTTTATTAAAAAAAAATTAATTAAGTCAAACACATACATTTATAAAAAAAGTGGAAGTGCATACAGAACCAATTACCATTTCCTCTAGAAACAACAATAAATATATAGCAAAAATGATTTCTTTTGCCATCTTTATGAACCAAGAAAGAAAGCAATGCAATGATAAGTAGTCATAAAGAGAGAGAGAGAGAAAAAAAATTAATACTTCTTGGCTTCATTTTTACCATTGTAAAAGTTATGCAATTATTTTGCAAATTTCTTATTGTCAAAGTAAATAAATCAATTCATTTAATGATTAGTTTATACAAAGTTGTATAAGACAATGCCAGAGAAAGGGGATGAAACTTTCTGTCAATTCACATGGTAGTCAGACTGGCATCAGGAGTTAGAAATAAATCACATGTTCAATAAACACAATATCATGTCTTTGGAAGATGTACACATGAATTTTAAATGGTTAACAAGCTGGTGTTGCAGATGATTATTATGAGTAAATGATGAGTTTGATTTTCATTGGATAGTAGTGGATTTGTGTCAAATTAAGCTACACTTAAAAAGTATTCTAACAGAAGTAGATATGTTTCAGGAATTTGAATGAGTGAGTAAAATTAAAAAGAGAATGGTTCACACTAACTTGAATAAAAATGAAAGTGTCTTTTTAGTTTCATTATAAATTTTTACAGTTGAAATAGTTAGGAAAATCAAAAAATGGTTAATAAAATTAATTCTTTCATAAATAAATTCCTTTTTGGTCACATCATTTAAACTGCAAAGTCAAATACAAAAATTATATCTTGTTCTTTTGACCATTCAGATTAAATAAATGAAAAGACATTCATTGTGAAGAAACTAAGTCTTCTCACTTGGCAAATTTAGCAAATTTACTTTCTTAATAGGTAATAAATATTTATAGTAAAATCCAAAGCAAGCAAATTTTTGTATACTACAGCAAGCACACAGCATCTGCATATGGAGCAATAAGTTTTAAGCCATTTCAATAGACAATATATAGATAATAGATATTTATTAGAGACTGAAAAATTAGTTTGAAAAAAAAATATGCCCAACAGTAAAGTATGATTTTAAAATTTGTTTAATACATACATGAGATCTAGCAATCAATAATGATTAAATAAATGTCCCTGCTACTTATTGCACAGAGCAATGATTTAAAAATTTCTTACTGGAACCAATTTCATTATTATTAATTTCAGACTAACATATCTTTCATCTTAGTTTTGTTGAAAAAATAAAAATAAAAAAATAAAATAAGAAAGATATACTTGCCTGAAATGAATAATAACAAAGCAATAACATAAATAATTGATTTCCCTTCTGCTTTACTACAAATCTTTCAAGGACTGTTTTAACTTAAGTCATGGCATCATTTACTGATCTCCACCAGTTTCTGCAACTAAATATTATGCCAAAAATTAAAATAAAAGCAATTAAGATTCTACCTGAATCAACTTTACTTGAGTGATGAATTTAATCTGATGTTGCATGTCAAACAATATTAATTAGCTTGGAACAATTTTTTTTAACTACCAAAATAAATAAAAAATCTGAATGAATGCATTATTTCAGTAAACTTCTCTTGTCAGTTTTTTGTTTTCAAATAACAAAAATATTAATGAAATTTCATAAGAAAACAAAACTGATTGTAGATATTGATATGTATTTTATATGAATGAGGGAGAAAAAATTTGAATATCCAAAATGAAAGACAAATATAACATACTGGCATTCCATAGGCTCGGAGTATATCCATTTTACACATAGGGCAGCTTCTTTGTTCTAATAACCAGGGATCAACACAAGATTTGTGCAGGATGTGTCTGGAAGAAACAAGAATATACAAAATTGAAAACAAGTATAACAAAAACAATATTGCATGTATAGATTTTATTCTTTGTATACTAATAAAAGAATGAATGAGTAACATTGTGATGTAATGCATTATGTTTTGCATGCATGTTTTGATGTTGAAAACAAAAAAAATTGAAACAATATAAAAACAAATACTTTAACTTTTATTCATTCTTGTGGAGTTCTAGGGTGCAAAATGGCTAAGAAGGCTTTTATTTTGTCAAAAAAAGTGATGTGCCTCCTCATGTTTACATACAAGAAGACACCAGCATTTGGTCTTTCTTTCACCTGAGTAGCAGACAAATGAAGTTATTATTCCGTCACTTATAAATAGACAAAATAATTCACCTTTTGAATGGCTATCGGCTACATCCATGGGGCCAGTAGCTTCCATAAAATTAGTCAGCCATGGTTGATAGTAGCTACTTGAAATCTGGTGGTCATGATTGCTATCATTCATGTCACTAGCATGGTTATCATCTTCAACCACTTCACCATCAATATCCACTTGAGTAAAGCCTTCAAAATCATCATCGGAGTCCAAATCAAAGAAAACTCCTGAATAAAGCCTTCGTTGGATGTTGATGGGACATTTTTGTTTACAAAAAATCACGAAAAAATTTATGTGGGTTTAGTCGATGTTACACCTCGTGTAGTATCTAGAAGAATTCAAAATGGCATCGGAAAATGGAAGTTTAACCTTGTTCCAAAGCAGGCAATTTCCAGCTTAAAACAGTTGACAAGTGTTTATTTATAGCAACCGTCTCAAGGCAAAAGAATGTGCCTAGAGCTGCAAAGGGAGAGAATTTTATGGTGTAGGGGGACTGTACCCCTATTATTTATTTTGTGAAGATTAAAAACTCCTGACGTCAGACAAGAGAGGAGAAGAAATAAGATGAACACGTATTCAATCTGTGACATGAATCAAAGTAAATTATATTCACAAATATTACATTTAGGTTTGTAAGAATGAGTGAGTTGGGCGAAGGTTTGTGTTGTGAAGAATCATGTTCTGTCTCTTATCTCCAATTTATAGCTGCCAATGCTCTGTTTGCCACCCTCTGAGTCACTTCCTTGTGGATATAATTGACCTATTAAGAGGAAAGACACCTTCATATGTCCTAAACTCCACCCTCTTTGTGGAAATAATCAAAGATGCTCCAATCCAATCCAACCAGATGATGAGCTTGGCCTCGGACTCATCCTTAGGAGAACATACTAGAATACCAAGAGATAACGGACTTTCTTTACACAAACAACATACTTCAGAATGGGATCAGACATATATCAGGCTTAGCAATTGGCTCACCATTATTACCAGCATATATGGAATACTTCAAAGAAATGGCATTAGAATCCACATCACTAAAGCCAACTCTATGCCTGAGATACACAGATGTCACATTTATCCTCTGGTCACAGCAGGGAGAGGTCCACTGGATCATGTGAACTGAAGACAATCACTGATATATGGAGAAAACAAAAAGAGAATAGTAAAAGCATATGTTCAAGACATCCATATACCATAAGCCAACATTCACCAGACTCAACTTCAACTCCCACCATCCATACAGTGTAAAGAAAGGGATCATCTACTGCTTACAACATCAAGTAAAAGTCATAAGTGTCAACCCAGAGACATATAAACAAGAAATGGTATAAGCAGTAACCTACGACATAACAACTACCCTGGGTACATGAGAGCAACTCCAACAAAGTGAGATAGAATGATGCAAGAGGATAAAAACACTCAGAAAGCAGCCTCAGTCTGCCTACCCTTTGTGAAGGGATTATCAGAAAAATACAAAAGATCTGTTGTTCATGTAACATCAGGACCTTCAAAATTGGTTAAACACTTTGCAGATTACTCTTCCAAGTAAGACCTACTGATAGAGGAGAACATGATTAAGGACTGTGTGTATGCCATCCCATGCAGCTATGGTAAGAAATATAAAGGAAAACAGGCCATCCCCTTAAGATAAGACTGCAGGAACACCATAAAGCCATAACATGAGGGGAAATAGAAAAATCAGGCATAGCTGACCACATATGGAAGCAAAAGGGAGATCACCATCCCCTGTGGGATGAGGTTGAAATAATCAAGAGAATATCACTGGAAAATATGAAAACTCAAAGAGTCAGTGCATATTCTAGGCCACAAAAAAATCTTAAGCCAGCCAAGCGCAGAAATGAATACAAATGGGAACCAGAGAAAAACAATTATAACAACAAAATTGTAATATGAAAAAATGGTTACTGAGATATTATGTTCCAAAAAATTCATACACTGACACATGACCCAGTGGATAAAAGCATTGGTTGAATCCAGTGACTTGACATAACGTGTTGTGAGTTCAATACCTAAACAAAAACTTGGAGAGTTGAGTTAAAGGGAAATGCTGAGACATCCGGATGAGCCATGGCACATGGAACTAGAATAATCTACCCCAGTGGATGAAATAAAGGGTTCAGTCTGAATTTCTCATCATCTGAAGAAGGCCGGAGCATAAACAGCTGAAACATCATGAATATGACAATGAAGATGAAGACAACAGTCCGAACAATATAAATGGTGTAAATAAGAAAACTGACTCTCAGAGCATTGAGTTCATCATCCACTAAATAGAAGAATAAATCTTCATGTACATGTAAATTTTATTAAAAACCTGATTTAGAAAACACTAATAAAAAAAATAAAAAAACATGAGCAGAGACCAACTTAAAGAATTTTTAAAAAAATGTCAAGTTTTCAACTTAATCTCTGAAAAAGACCTTATCCTGAGAATCCTATTATAATTGTGCTTGTCCCTCTTGACATTAGTTTGCATGACCATTATGAGATGTCAATACCTCAGAAATAATGAACTATTCCAGGTTCTCTTTGCATAGAAAGAGGGGGAAAGACATTAATTGGTTTCAGTGAGAAAATAAAAGAAAGAAAATAGAAGTGAAGAGAGAGAATCAGATTAAGCTGATAAGAACAGATACTACACTTTGATCTAAGACAAATGGCTGAGAAGCTATGTTGACTACAATAAAAGCACCATTTTTTTTTTTTTTTTAAACCAAGTAAGGAAAATAAACAATTACTATAAATAAAATAACATTGTCTGCTGAATTATTTTTAAATCATTATTAAGAGAGGGATTTGGCTAGAAAGAAGGAAGGGAAAATTTTTGAGAGTATTTGAGAAAGTTTTTTAACACTATATATATAAAGGAAAAATCCCTGAATATGTTATTTGAGTAAAAAAAAAGAATATATAAAAAACAATGAAAGTTTATCATGAACATTGCCAAAAAATAATTCAAAACTAAAAACATTTTGGCTGAGAATTGGAACTTGCTTAATTTAAAATATTTTATTTCACATTTGATACAAAAAATCTACATTAAATATCTATTTTTAAAAAATGTAATTGTAATTTTTTATATTTTCATTATCTTTTAAGCAAAAAATAAGTATTATTTTTACAAAATCCAGTCAGTTCTTCCTTACTTTTACTAATTTACTTTGAAACAAAAGACAAATGCTGGATTTTTAAGAGATTTTTAAATTTGTTATATTCATTTGTCATTAAGAATGGAGATTTCATGATTGGCAATCTTTCAAAAATTTCTTAAAAAGTTAAACCCTTATTTAAACATGTGAAATTGTTATTTATATTTTTTCTACACATTGGCTTTTATCTATCAGCTTTCAAATAAAAACACAATTTAACTTGACTTATTCAAAATGCATTTTAAAGTTTTGTTCAGTAAGTTTGTAGTAATACTTTTTGCAGCATTACTTCTAGTTAGACTAAAAGCAGTGGCAATGATTTTGTACATGTAAATGATGAGTGTAAAAACAGAACAAGGGAATATTTTATATTTTTATTTTTATAGAGCTGGGTAACAAGGGAGAGAAAATACATGGAAAAGAAAGAAGATATTACAAGTGAGGAATTATGTAGGGGTTATGTGTGTGTGCACGCATGCATGTGCAAGTTCACTCACTAAGATATTACTATGCACTAGGCCCCAGTGGTGTTAATAAAGCATACTGGGAGGAAAAGAGAGATAAGAGAGAAAAAAAACAGGAAGGACCCTGTTTTTATAGCTGCTTTACAATGCCCTCTAACGACTTTTTGTTGACAAATAAGAATTAGTGAAATTTAAAGAACTAAAAATATACCAAGTTTACTCTATTATTTCATTTATTTTTTTTAAGAAAATAAGAAGACTAGCTGAGGTGACAGCAATTTAAGCTGATAGTTAGGACAAAAGAAAATATTGTTTTAATTTGTCAAAACTGTCAGCTCAAATTTCAAAATAAATTGCTTTATACAGTTTTAAAATATCTGAAAAAAATTTAAATTCACTAGAAACTGAAATTTCCATTGATGAAAATGTCATGTTTCCGCTGGCACCGTTGATCAGCAATACAAGTTTCAATGCACTGGTTTTTGTTTTTGTACAAAATGCAGTATACCTTCTTTTTGATTTGCATGTACCTCAAGTTATATGGGAGCAGAGATATGAAACTAATTGATTATTAAAGACAAGACATTGCTCTACAAGGAGGTGTAAACTTCATTTTTTTTGTTTTTAAGAGTTGAATTTCTCTGGTATTTCATCCACTAAAGTTTTCAACTTGTGTTTTTCTCATTTCTTGTGAAGAAAACTTTGAAACTGATTGTTCACCCACCAAATTGACAAGTGTCCTTTCTTCTTTAAGATGGAACTATTTTGATATTTGTAGGTACACACAACTATGAAACTGTCAACTTCAAAAATGCAAAAAATCTGTCAGCATCAAAATAGTGACATAATTTAAACAGACATGAAATAAAAACTAATCACCACACATTAGAAAGTATTATATCTTTAGAAAGAGAAAAGATTAAATTTTGTTTACATACTAATTTTATCAAAATAGCCTAAAAAATAAACAGGATATTTTGAAATGGAAGGAAATTGTACTATTTTGATGTGTCACACTGTAAACCACGGGAAATAAATACAATATGGGAGCCATTAACAAAGAAAGAAAATGACAAGGCTTCTACAGCAGCAGCTGCAATAGAAAAAAGAAACTTTGGTGAGTGCAGTCAAGCATGACAAGCAGTAGTCTTATCAGCAGGCAGATTAAGTTTAAGGCTCTCCACTCAAGATTGTTCCATGGGACAACAGCAGATTAAAGTTTTGGCACATGAATTTGGTAACAGTAATTGTAAGTTCATTTCCCTGTAATGTATGTAATGAAATATCCTTCATCCCATAAATTCAGGCAGACAACTATTTAAATATCCATGACATAGCAGGAATCATAATAACTCTTAAAAATAGAGAAAATTAGGTGAAATGCTTTTAATTTCAAAGACATTTTAAAATAATCTATTATATATACCTATTAAGAGATATAACAAAAATCAAACAAATGATATCAGTTTACATTTTCAAGAGGGATAATGACAAATGATTTATTAGATTGAAATAATACAAACAAACCTCAAACAATCCACTGAACCCTGACCCACTGATGAATATGGATCTCCCACTCTGAGCCCCTGCTGTCCATGATTCTGGGTAGTATAGGGGTCTAGTCAGGTATATGCCCTTACACACAGCAGCCAGCATAGCAGCCACACAGGTTTAAAGAGTTAATAAAGGGGATTTCTTTTATTTTCTCGGCCATTTTGTTGAAGAAACAAAGGCAGCAAACACTTTCAAAATATGAAATAAATGAAACTAATTTTTATTTTATCATTTTTTCTGTCATTTTATGAGTGCTGCAGCTTGCAAATTAAATAGAATTGCATAGCAAAGACTAAGATAAAGCAAGATGTCACGTTTTATATGTAAAATAAGTGACCTTTCAATATGTGGATATATATTACTTACTTGCATGGTAAAATCCTGATAACATCAGATGGTTTATAGCCTTCAATGCACACAGCACATTGGTCATAATCAGATTCCAATTCCTGCAATTGAAAATAATTTGTACAGTAATACAGAGAAAAATATAGGATATAGAGTTGGTTAGTGGGTAGGGGAAGCTGCAAATGACAGAGCTTCTGAAAATAATTACCCATCTCTTTAATAAGAGAATCAAGCTGAGTTACTGTATTTCAAGGTATATAAGACCCACTATCTTTTTCCCAAAAAATTGGGATGTGAAAGTCATATAATGGATAGCAGCTTAGAATGAGAAATCAGAGAGGTGTGTTTTAATTCCAGTTAAATTTATTACATCTACATACATACAAATACTCTTGGGAAAAACCTGAATCCATCACCTCCCCCCAGCTATAGGTTAAATAGTAGGTCATATATCCAGAAAAATCATTGTTATTCTCAAATAAATTGTTAATGCAATATCCGGTCACAAAAAAAGAATTATATTCCAAAATATGTTGGATTTAGATAAGCCACATAAGTCATAAAAAAACATTGTCTCAAATAATATTTCTCAAGTTTATATGCAAAGTTACAGTATCTGGTAGGCTAATATTTACCCAGATGTAATAGACTTCCATTGCTTGTATCTTGCCTAACTTCATAATACCATAATATCAAATGTAAATAAGGAACAGAGTCTTATATGACAAATATGGTAATATTCACATTTACTAGTCCTGTATTCTAAATCTCCAAAAACATGATTCTCTTGTATAATATGCAAGGTATTTATTTCATAATCCCATGTAATTTTGTAGAATATCAAATCTACAACAGTTTTCAAAATATATATTTGTCTGGATATATAAGGCTTTTTTAAAAATTTTTATATTAGTTGCATGTTTTTAACCTACCGATCAATATTTTTATGTGTATTATTTATTTTATAGCTTGTTCAAAGATCAATGAAAAAAAAACAATAATAAAAATTTGTTTCACTCAGCATATGCATTATCAGAATGTTATTAGCAGAAACAGTATTTTCTTTAAATTATTTATTAAATTTTTATTCAATAAACATTGCTGAAAAAAGTCAACCCATTTATTGTGGATCAGCTAAAACTCTTTATATGTTTACATACAAATACATATGAGAATAGTTGCATTGTAGGAGAACCTTTGGCTGTCCACTTTCTGTGTTTAGTAAGAGCAACATACTACTGTCAGTAAGAAGAGGATTTTTTTAAATGAGATCAAATGGTATTTTTAGGAAAATCATTTGATTACTAAGACTGAGAGCAGATTTTGACTCTTGCAAGTGATATTGCTATACCTTGCTTAAAGTAGATTTTATTTATTGAAACAAATGTCATGTGAATAATTTAATGGTGCAAACTTAATGAATCTTTCTTATACAGGTTAGAAATTCATCAGACTTAAATCTAAATTTTATCAAGTTATTTTACAATCGTCATTATAATAAATACAGGAAAAATTCATGAGACAATTATATCATTGTTGTTATTCCTAGTTAACAACATTAAATGTTGCTTGAAAAATGTTTAATGGATATTGCAGCTTTAGTATACAAAATCCTAATTCTGGTAGTACATGAAGTCTCCAGGTGTTATAAGAAAAATGAAATGTGCACATTATACTCCTAAGTAGAAACAGTTTAATAATTGAAAAGATTTTTTTTGAGTAAATCAAACTGCAGCCAGCAAGGCTTTATGGAGTCCTCCAAAAAGGAGCACACTCCTTTTTACTGGGGCAAAGGAGAAGAGGGCTCATTTTATATTCAACTAGAGTGGAGCGTGAGCAGCTCTATTTGGGACTAAAAGTCGGGGGGGGGGTGCACTCCACACTCCTTGCTCCAAAATTATTTGAATTTTTTTAAACATTAATTTGTATTCAACAATAAAAAAGAAAAGAAAGAAAAATCTGAGCTAAACTCTTTGAGCTATTTTTTATTATTATATCTGTGCTGAGAGAGAAAGAGTGAGAAAGTGTGTTTGTGTGTATGTTAGTTATACATGAAAATGGAAGCTATTTCAACTTCTATCCCGGGGGTGGGGGTAAAGAGGCAAGTGACTTTGACACCTAGGTGTTATAGTTCTGATGTTCGTGGGGGGGTGACAACATTTCTTTTAAGTTGCAAGAGTCAGTCACTTGTAGAAAGTCTTTGATGTCATTTTTTATTAGATATGAATGTGTGTGTGTGAGTGCCAGTGAGAGCGAGTATAAAAGCTATTGGTGTTGGGTGGTTAAGGTTTGAACTTTCTTGGTTTTTATGGCAAATTTTACTGACAATTTCAATTTAGTTTTGCATACAATTTTGCTATTATTATTAGTATTATCATCATCATTATTTAAAGAAAATTATTAAAATATAAATGAAATCTTTATGGGTAATAACTTCTGTTGGATTTTCTCACCTATTTCCCTGATATTTGTCCAAATGTTGAATAAAATTGATTCTTGGTCTAAAAGGATACTTTTTGTCCTGAAATAAAATTCTAATTTACTTTTTAATGTATATTTAGGTATCTTAATCTCACTCTCAACAGTCTTATTTTAATTTCTTTATATTTTCCATAAAGCATCGTAAATGTAAAAGTGAAAGCTAAGTACAAAAAAAATTGGAGCGCTGAAAGTTTTCCTTAAAAATAACGAGATAAATAATTTGTTCACTTAAATCTAAATAACTTCACATCTCTCCTTCCATAGAAGAAATTATCAAAACATCATGAATGTCTTTTGTCACCTTGTCAAGTGACGCGAAATGTTATGACCTGCTTTGTTTTATTTTCAAACTATGGTTAAAAATCTTGTTTTCGTTTTTTTTAGGTCAGCAGTAATGTAATATTTAGCATTAGTTTTTTCATGCATTTTTCAGTTGAAATGATTGTATATTACTTTTTTATGATAAAGTAAGTAACGTTGGTTTCAAATCAGATTAATTTAACTTTAAATTTGCTAATTTTACTCAAATAATGTATCACAAATATATATATTATTTTCAGAAGTTTTTTAAAACTGATAAATGTCCAACGTTTATGAAAGAAGGTACATTTTAACTATGGAGCGCCAAAAAAGAGCCGTTCTTTTTTTAATAGGATTGGAGCTGGTGTGGCTCCTTTTTGAAAATGGGGAGCCAGCTCCAATTTTGTGTATGGGAGCAGGAGCAGCTCCAAAAGTAGTAGAGTGCATAAACCCCTGGCAGCCAGTAGCTTACAACATATTGGGGAGCATTATATTCAAAACTGTATAGTAAACATTAATTTGAAAAATAATTACTTTTTTCTTTTAATTATTTCACCCCAAGCAAGGTGATAATGTCACAAAGACACAAGAGGTTACTCTGAGTGGAAGAGTATGAGAAGACTTTAGTGAGGAGAAAGGACAATAAAAGAACAGGGTTCAGGAAGACAGAAGATGGCGATTGACATTGCATTTAAATGTTTGAAGGTGGCAGGGAAGCAAAAAATCGGAAAAGAGTTTCACAGGCAAGAAGTATGAGAAAAGAAACTGAATAGAATTTACAATTCCATCTATCTAATTGAACAGTAAGATGATGAGACCTTGTTGCCAAACTTAAATTCATGTGTTCAAGGTACCAAAGATGAAAGCTCATTAAAAATATTTTTGAAAAGATAGAGGGAAGCCATATCACGACAGTGAGAAAGTGACTGAAGTTGACATGCCATGTCAGGACTGACAACATTACAGATCCTTCTTTGGATTTTGTTGAGAATCTCAAGATATACAGCTAGAACATCAGACCAGATATGGCAGCAATATTTAATGCATGAAGGAATGGTAGATTTATAAATGTGCAAAATGAATTCTGATGAGAAAAAAAAATGTCTATCATGACACTGTGAACCTAGTAGTAGACCTAGCAAATTGATTCAGTATAATCTATCCACTTCATGTCAGTAAAAAATTGTGAAAACAAGACATTGCTCACCTGGAGGTTACCATTAGCCATGCAAAAATGGTTCTCTATGGTGATTAAAGGATAGCAGTTTCATATTGGATTTATTAAAATTTACAAGTCATTTGTCCCAGTTAACAATTAGAGGTCATTTTTGAGAGCAGCTGCTCATCTTATTTTGTTGGAACTATCAGATTTACTATATATAAAGTATTTATTTGCCCAAGTTTTAAAATGTATTTTAAAATAATGAAATCAAATAGACGAGAGTAATGAAAATGTCTATGATTAGTAAATGTTTAATCCAGTAAAGTTAGAGTGAGAGAATTTGTTACTAAGTGAATAGCAACATTACCTTGACTGCAATTATTATTCATACAGAAAATAAATAACAAAGCAAGCAAGTAGTTTTAAGTGATAACAATACCATATGTTAATATTTTTTGTCAGTTATTTTATCAAAAAGCTATTCTGAAAAGAGCTTCAATCAACATTGTATACATTTTACTAATGATTCAATCTAAAGATTTGATATGTACATTCTAAAAGAAAGAAAGAAAAAGGTGGCAAAAATTTCAAGATTAAAAAAATAAAACATTTTGTTTCTCTTGTAATTATTTAAAGAATACTTTACTGCCAAAGATGGGATACACTTAAGATTAAGTGGTAATCAGATTGAGTAAAATCTGGAAAATAAGGAGGGTGTGGATTACCCCCACCCTAGACAAAGTCTCTGAATTTCAGATGTGATCTTTATTGTATAGAGTCATGCATTATGACAGAGCAGTACACCTTTGCATCTGTTCAAACTGTCTCTTTTCCTTCAAAACAACTGCTGACAACAGATGTCTGATGTAATCATAATACTGACTAGCAGAAACTTAATCACCATTTTACCAAACCATTTCTTGGAGGTAGGTTTATTTTCAGTTGTCCTGGTCACTTCTACTAAGCTATTGGCTGCATTGATTTACATCCTTGTAAAATATTATTTTATTATCATTAACATATCCAAAAATGGTTAGATGCATTCATGAAAGCACAGATGGATCTTCTTGCTTAACAATTGGCTCCTGTTAATTTATTGGAAACCCAAGATCAGGTACCTTTTCAAGTTGCTGTAGATGACTGAACTATTAAATGGTT